GACAAAAAAGTGTCGAGCGTGCCTTAATTTTGAGAATGCAGCATGTTCCTCGTATTGAAACGGATCGATTTCTATCAGAACACGTAATGCATCACCAGAAGTTGGAAACAGCGCGTCCATTCATGCAGCAATCATTCTTTTTATTCGAGGGCCCGTACACAGAAATGGTACAGCCATCTTTATTATCGTACGCTTGCAACCCGAACTGTATATTGTAGGCCCGTTTTGACTGGCAATTTGAATAATAATTCAATACCAATACTGCTTCGGCCGTCCACCATTGTATTTAGTGTATTTCGAATTTTATAATTCAAACGTCGCTCGCGTTCTTTTATTGATTCCTATGAAACATTATCGAAGAAAAAAGAAACGCGTTAAGTTGTTTTCTTCGATTACCGCATTAATAAAAATTCCTGTTCGTAATATTGAGTTGCGTTCTGGAGTCGGAATTGTATTTAATGAAATATTTATTTCTTGGATCTGATTGTATCGTTTTTATAGATATTCGTTGTTTATGTATAAAAAAAACGTGATTTCTATTTTGATATTTAATCGGTGCCTTTGATGACTACCATTCACACCGACTAGATTGATGCATAACTATTGGTATAAGATTTTGTTAGCAAACTTTACGCTGTGAGAAATAGTTTCGTTGTATACTTATCTCGATTTTCTTACTAAATACATTATTTTACAAATATTAAGTTATAAGAACAATGTAGATAAAAGACGTAAAGATTTTCGTCGGTGTGGCAATCAGCCGTTTAGCATGGTGGCTAAAGCGCCAGGCCGCGAATGCCGAAGACGTGGGTTCTATTCCCACAGCGGCGACAATCTTTTCGTACATTTTCTTATTAAAATATGTATACATCTGTCTGTATTTGCTAGGAGCGTTTTTAAACTTTTTTGGCTTTGGCTCCATCGCTGGCCTTTTTGGTTCTCACGTTACGTTTTCCTGCAGTCGTCAAGATACGAAGCTTTCCTACCGACCGGTCCCCACTACGGAACCGGCTCAAATGAGCCGTTTGGCCCTTCTCACAGCTTTTATATCAATGTCATCGACCCGTCTGCCAACCCTTAAGGGTCGAAATTTAATTTACATCTATATCGGCTTTTGCTCTAAACCCAATCTTGGCTCTTGGGAATAGATTCCAGATTTGTACGGAGTGTCTGTTGTTTCGTATAAATTGAGCGCCCAGCTAGCTAAAACGCTTTCGTGTCATGCATACCAACTTTATCATGAGATGCGACAAGTGTTTGTAGTTTGTAATTTACTAATATAAAGTACTTATTGGATTATGTTTGTTATTGGTAAATGTAGTTGATACATGGTTTTAATTTTTATATCTGTATCTCTGCCAAAAAATTTGTATTAGATAGGAGTTTCGGAAAGCGGAGTTTCTGAAATCTGAAACAGTGAAAGTTAGGGTAAATATCAATCCGCAAATTTGAATCTCCCGTTGTTTTTGTTTACCAATGGGTTCTTGCCAATTTTTATCTGAAGTTTCTTGAAAGAATCGCTTTGGTACTCGTATATGGGTGTATTTTTATGTTTCTCTCATTTTTTATGTGAGAAGGTGGTAAGCGAGCTGGCGCTTTACTTAATGTTAACTTATAACCGCCGTCGCTGGACATTTTAACAAAGTGGGCCCAGACTACCTCACTCAGCAGACGAAACGAAGATAACACTTCCACATCACGCCGGTCTTCTATGAGGTTGTTGTCCTTATCCGGAAGGACCTGCCCATTCATGCAACAGCCAAAAAAGTTGTGTGGCCCTATCACTAAATTATTAAATTTTGCCGACACTTTATCGGACATGGTATTATACCTCAGCAAGAGACAGGAGAGTTGAAATTTATGTTACATGTTAAATAATCACTTAGAAAGCAAGCAAGCAATATGGACAATCAACAATTTTGACTCAGGTAGCGATTATACTGATTCACCAATAAATCAGTAAATGTGGTGGTATGTTACACTGAGCTAACACTGGCCCTAATTAGGTAAGTAGCATAAAAAGTTGAACGGAAAATCTTAACACCCGTTTGACTATTTATATACGGGACGAACAAATACAGTACACACAGGCTGTTCAACTATATCTCGAGCCGAGTCGAATTTTTTACGTGGAATTTACGACGTTTATGTTACACTATTACGTAACCGCAGTTGATCCCCGTTGATACATGACCGTATTGTAATCTGATCTTGCGTCGAGATAGATAACATAATGCTAGGCGGGTCAATGACCCAATTAGGAATGACGCGATGAGTCATGACAGCGTGGCGTTGTGGTTTTTCGTCTTGCGCTTCTGGATTATTATAATAGTTTCTTTGCTTTTTTTATTAGTGTATTGAAGCTTATACAGATCAGTTTAGAAGGAGATAGTCGTATTATTTATTAAACATAGACAATTGTTACGTATTGTATTGCGTTTTAGTTCAATTCGGAATGTCACATGAAGCCTTAAAGCGGTAAAATCTAAAAGAATAGATTAATTTGATAATTAATGCTCCCGATTGGAATTACCTATGATTATGTTGAGCAAGAGCCGTGATAGCTCAGTGTCCGGGCACTCGCCTTCAATTCAATATGCCCAGCAGTGGGACATGTACAGGCTGTTACTTTACTTACTTTTGTTGAGTAAGTCGGATGTCATAATAACGATCTCTTACGTCCATTACGAATTTGTTTCTCTTACATGCTGTGTAAAATGCATTTTTTTGAGAATTTTCCGCGTCGCGTTACATCGAGCACGTGATGTTTCGCCCAAATAATATCCACGAACACGCGTGTCGATCAGTGCGTTCTAACGGAAGTCCGACCCGATTTGCTATGTGCTTTGGCATTCTGGTAATTTAAAATCTATTATTACCACCGACTGCGAAATCGCCGAATTAACTATCTATAAATTTTTATGTGGTAAGTTGGCTAATTAGCTGTCGGTTCATCTGATGTTAAATGATAACCGCCGTCCATTGACATTTGCAACACCCAATGTAGGGTTACGTTGGGTGTTGGAAATGTTTTTTTTTATGTGAAAAGTTGCCAAATGAGCAGCGGTTCACCTGATGTTAAGTGAATACCGCCGCCCATGGACATCTGCTACACCCGAGGGTTTGCAGATGCGTTGACAACCTTTTTGGAAATTGGGTTCCGGCTACCTCCCTCACCAGACGAAACGCGAAAGTACTAGACTTCTACTTTACGCTGGTCTTCTGTGAGGTCGTGGTACTTACCCGGACGAGCCTGCCCATTCGTGCAACAGGCGAGGCTGCTGCGTGGCCCTACCACCGTTAAATGTCCATTGTAATTACGTTGCCACGTTACAATAAAGTGTAAAGGTAACTGGGGCCACCTCACTCACCAGACGAATAACACTCTCCGGGCTAACAATGACGTTAAGGTAACAAATATGTACCTGTAGAATAAAGATATCCTGATAAGGACGTTTTACATGCATAAATTTCACGTGGACAAACACCCAGATCCGAAACAATTATCTATGCCTCACACAAATATTCTTCCCATGTGGAGATCGAACCCACGAACTCCGACGTCGAAGCAAATACTTTGGTACTAACTGCGCCATGGAGTCGTCAAGTCTTGGTGTACTTTATGCCCGACTCCACGTTCGTGAGTTATCCAAGACACTATAGGAAAATAAAAAGAAAAACAAAATCAAAATCATTTATTCATCGACATAAGAAAAATACATTTCATTTATCGATAGTAATTTTTTAATCTACCACCGTTCTCTAACGGAGAAAGAAACTCTGTACGTATACTCTTTTTTGATATGATCTCGGACAGAGTTAAAAAAACCGGACAAGTGCGAATCGGACTCGCGCACGAAGGGTTCCATACTATTATGTATAAAAACGGCAAAAAAATCATGTCTGTTGTAAGGGAGCCCCACTGAAATATTTTTTTATTCTTTTTTTAGTATTTGTTGTTATAGCGGCAACAGAAATACATCATTTGTGAAAATTTCAACTGTCTAACTATCACGGTTCATGATATACAGCCTGGTGACAGACGGACAGACAGACTGACAGACAGTTTTACCCTTCGTTTTACTCTGGGTACGGAACCCTAAAAAGAAACAGATATTCATATACCTATTTACTTTGTTTGAAATAAAATTCTATCGCGGACGCCTGAGTACATAGCGGACACGCGATTCCGTTCTTTTCTTGACACGAATAACTAACTCTATACGTCCGTCGCTGACATTCATGAGATCGGAAACAGCTGCTGTGTTCATTTCTACGCTCGGAACAACACGGAAGACAGATTTCGTTAAGATTGGCATGTTCCTTTTCCCCATTTATAACTCTTTTTGGCATTTGAGGAACGTTCTGGAATACACAGCGGTCGGCGACTGGCCAACTGTCGCGTGTAATTTAACAGCGCCCAATCTGAGTTACAACCCGGAACTCACTTGAGCCGCCGCAACTCACGTATGAGATAAACTTGTAAAGAGGTTTATTATACCTCGTTAAGTCTACACAATTTCGATGTTTCTCAAACTCAATCTGTTTGCCTTAACTTTGTTTTTAAATTTATTTCGGATCGCAAACAGAACATTACACATATTCTGTAGAAATAAGTCTAAAAAAATTATTACATAAGGGAATATGCCACTGTTAGCGAACACATCTTGTACCTACACATAAATAATGCTCTCAACATGTAGGTATACTAGTAGGTACGAGTAGTAACTTAGTGTTAAAATTATTAAATGACAATAATTTACTAACGGATTTCCCCCTTTTTTTCTTTTCGAAACTTTTCGACCACCGCCATCACCGATCTTCTATAGATTTTGAAAATACCTCACACCCACCGTACATATAAACATCCATAAGTGTCTAACAGATAAACGAAAGGCACTCTGTCATTACGGGAACCATATGGTGGGAGCAGTTAACGTCACGCTCGGCTTGCGTTAATCAGAATTGGGGTGACTTTATCCCTCCGTGTTTGCCAAACTATGACCGCTAACAAACACGTGGCCTCTGGCGGGCGGCGTGCTGCCGGCGTGACAGTTCTGCATGAAGACGTCCAGAACCGCGTCAATTTTAGTTCATATATATATATATATATATATGAAGTCTTTGTTGATGACTCCGTGCCGCAGTTGCCAAGATATTGGCATCGGTGCCCGGGATCGTGAGTTCGTTTCCCACACGAGACAACTATTTGTGTGACCAACAGATAATTGATTGATTCATTGTGTTGAGCAGGCGGTTCTTCTGATGTTAACTGATCACCGACCGTGATGCTTTGCCCGCTGAGCACACATGCGACGCGTTAATACTTCGACTTCGCGCCGGTCCTCTGTGAGGCCGTGGTAAATTTTACTGTGGTAGGGCCAAGTAGCGGCCTTCGCTGTTGCACGAATGGGCAGTACTGTCCGGGGAAGTAACACGACCTCACAGATGACCGACGTGAGTGGAAGTGCCATACTTCTGCGTCTGGTGAGTTAGGTAACCGGGGTCCCTCTTTATTGAAAGGTGGCAACACGTTTTTTAACCCTAAGGGTGTTGTAAATGTCCAATGGCGGTGGTTATCACTTAACATCAGGAGAATCTCGCTTCCGATCTTCTTATATAATAGTAGTAGTATTTCTTAATAATAATTATAGTTTTCGCTGAAGTCAAACAATATCGAATGTATCACGCTGTCGTCCACAATTTTATCTTATTCAAACCGTTTCTTTCTTAAAGAAAAAAAATTAATTAACCTTATCAACATCGCCGCTACCACACAACGATTTAATAGCCTAGGCGCAAACTTCACCCACTGCCTGTTACTGGACTATAAAAGCGGAACTTTAATGTTCTCGACGAACATAACTCTATAATGGAGTGACCGTTAAACCGTGGTGTTGTTATTTTTACGGAATTCGATGAGAGGATTCCTTTCAGTAATAAGTTACGACATTAAGTACGGTCGGAGAATTTTTTTTTTTTCTCGAACGTACTGTCGAATGAAGTTTGATATTGTGATTATAACGGGCACTAATAATATTTATTTTAGCATATATGACCATTTTCAATATACAAATTAATCGATCTTATTTTCGCATCATCCACATTCTATCCACTCTCGCATTGACTGGGAATCTAAAGGCATTAAGTTCATCCATTATAACCCTTAATTAAATTATTTGTAATGAAGGATGAGATAATTAATTAATTTGATCACTTTATTTATTTATTTATTTTTATGAGAGAAAGTGGCAAACGAGCTGGTGGTTCACCTGATGTTAAGTGATAGCTGCCTGCCTGCCCATGGACATTTGCAACACCGGTAGGGTTGCAGATGCGTTGCCACCTCTTAATAATGTGGGCCCCGGCTACCTCACTCACCAAACGAAACGCAGAAGTGCAACACCTCTACCTTACGTCGGCCTTCTGTATGGTCGTGGACTAACCCGGACGGACCTGCCCATTCGTGCAACAGCGAACATTGTTGCGTGGCGTTACTTTATATCATCATTTCAAATATCATAATTCAAATGCACGCTACATGTACCCTTGGAACGAATATTAAATAGCATTAGGTCCTATCCTTCGGCGTTTGAATTAGATAAATAATTAATTAAAATTTATTGTAATCTTTAAAAGCGTATTGAAAAGCACGTTTTACTTTTTTTATGAGAGCAGGTGGAAAGCGAGCTGGCGGCTCACCTGATGTTATTGATAACGGCCGCCAATTGACATATATTCAACACCCGTTGTTGTAGATGCATTGCCATATTTACTACCTACCTCACTCACCAGAAGAATCAAGTATAACGCTTCCACATCACACCGGTCTTCTGTGTGTCGTGGTATTTACTAGGACGGACATGCCCATTCGTGCAACAGCACATACTGTTGCGTAGCCCTATTACAGTTATGAACTATAAACGTTTACATTAAACTAACCGGAAGGCTGGTAGGCTGGGAATTTATAATTGTGTTAGTAACATTCTAATGTCGCATATAAATTAACTGTTTTATAATTCGAGATAGGAAGTCCGTCTTAATCTAAGGGAAAATGTAAGAACTTCGTATGAGATGCTATCTTCACTGGACTTATTTGATGAAATTTATCACCCTTAATTTAAACATACTATAATTCACTAACTTTTTACGGTCCAAGTTAACAGCTACACCGTTAAATTCCTAATAAAATCTTCACTTTTTATAGTCTCGACTTCTTTTAGGAATACATGAAAACCGCCTTTTATTACCTCACTAGTAATGGTTGGAAACGACGACGGTCGTACATCAGTATGGTAGATAATTGTCTTTTAGCGTGTGTCGCGGGACTCGAAAAAGAAGTCTATTTACGAAACTACCGGATGCTACAACACTAAGCTTATTCCTAATTGTATTTGTTGGCTAAAGTGTATCGATTGGTTGAGAGTTTTCGTGCTTATCGAGACAGGAAAAATGAAAGTAAACCCCCGAAAACATCATAATTCTATATGCCTTACGCTGTCATGGAGGCAATTTAAATTTGTAATTCGATTTAATTCCCGTTTACTATTAACTATTCCTTCATTAAACTTATTAAGGGCAGCGTGGTTAAGGAACGTTTAGTTGAGCACATACTAACGCAGCATAACTTATGTAGCAATACCTCCTCAAAGGAGATCATTCGATAGAGCCGAACATCATCCCAACCCTATGGTGGTAAGCGCAGCAAATTACCAACTACCGACACAAACGAGAACGTCAACAAGCGTCGCCCGCGAAACGTCCTCATCGACCTGGTCGAGGAAGGGGACTTAGATACGTCGGACCCACCGTCGGGGGTCCCGCCGGATAACACTACACCCACAGCTAGTGTAACAACAAACACAATCATCGGGGCCATCGGGGTCCCGGTCCGAACCGCAACCTCGATGGCCCTTAGATGCCATGGTTAAACGCACGCGTGAGCCCTACCCACAGCGGAGAGTCAAACTCGTGGGCTCTGGCTAGCCCACCGGTTCTGAGTCAGATCAAGCTTTAATAGTCTTGGGACTGAAAGCAATAACATCAGTTAATACAAGATACAAGATGTACCATTATCTATGAAAACGACAAAAATATCATGTCTTTTGTATGGGAACCCCCCTCAAATATTTTTTATTCTATTGTTTTAGTATTTCTCATAGCGGGAACAGTAATACATCATGTGAAAAATTTCAACTGTCTATCTATCCCGGTTCATGAGATACAGCCTGGTGACAGACAGACAAACAGGCAGCGGACTTAGTAATAGGGTCCCGTTTTCCATTTTACCAAGGGAACCCTATTGAGGCATCAATATTAGTTGAATTTTTTTAGCATCCAAATAAAGTTCTGGTTACTTAAGGCTGAGTATGCTGTTTATGATCGATGATAAAATAAAAAGATTTAACGATACTAACGGTTAGGAACTGTCACCTTCTCAATCATTTTTCGATAATTTTCCTATTATGATTCGTTTTGTTTGCTATAAATTTAGGCACAAGATGTATTCAGCAAAGCAAGAAATTACCGCATGTTAATCACCTATTTCGCAGGTCTCAAACTTATATGATATTACTTGTTATTTTTTGTCTGTTTTTGAGGCAGTTAACTACGAAACAATAGTTAATTTCGTCCCCGCCTCAAGGATCGTTCCCGAATCCCCAATCTAAATTCCCGTGTGGGTTTTTTTATAAGCTTTTAATGATCCGAAACATTGATTGAGGCTATGATTTACGACGTGTTTCTAATGTGTTACGGCCCATATAATTTATTTTTAAAACCGTTTTCAGCGTGGAATATTTACGATATACAATAGGTTTCCTGTTTTTACTTTTTGTAATATGTAAGAGTTAATTAACTCTTTTCCTGATTATATTCACTGTTTATCTTTTAATTAAGTTGTCGTAAATCGTAAAAAGTTGTTTGTTAACAGAGTTATTTGATAACGGCAAAGCGTATTTATAATGTACATTTATTACTGTATATTGTAATACTCTAATGCCTTTTTTAATACTCCTTGGAAATTTAGCTTGCCATACTTTTGTGTGTAAAAATGATGTGATACAATATTATGTTTATACATTCAGTTCCATCCTGTATTTCTTTTAAAGACAATCTGATCGTAATTTTAAGTCCTTTCAAACTGTTTGAACGTAAAATTGTACCTAATTCTCGCTTTCTAACGTATTGTTGTTTGTTGCAGTCGGCTTTCTGATCCTCGCTTTCTATCTCTGGGGAGATCCTTACAAGAGGGGGTTCTTCTGCGACGATGAATCCCTCAAGCACCCCTACAAAGACTCGACTGTCACCAATGTCATGCTGTACATCGTTGGACTTGGCGTTCCTGTTTTCACGGTAATTGTCATATAGTTATTTCAAATTAACTATATTGTAATGTGTATGTTAAAGTCTGCTGTTTTACGTATAAATAGAATAATTCAATAAATATTAACCTTATAAACTCTGTGAAAAATTTATCTGAAAATATTTGTTAGCGCTTATTAACATTTTGATGAATCCCACTGCTGGCCAAAATCTTGTGTACTGTGGATTAGGAGACATCACGTTAATTATTATATGTACTTATTATGTTGATGTTTGATGACTCCGTGGCGCAGTTGCCAAGGTATTGGCTTCGGCGTGGGGGGTCGTGGGTTCGATTCCCACACAGGACAACTATTTGTGTGACCCACAGATACTTGTTTCACATCTGGGTGTTTGTCTGCGTGAATTTTATGTTTGTAAAACGTCATTACAGCTAATATATGTTAGCCATTACTTTAGGATAATATTATCCTAAAGTAATGGCAATGTTTTTTAAGAAAAAAAAAAAAAGAAAAAAGTTATTATATTAAAATCAAAGATTTCTTAAGGATCCTTCAAATTGCCAAATTTATAAATTGTCTAGTGCCCACAGCTGCATTATTATTATGTTTATAGAATAATAACGAATTAAAAGCTTAACGAATTAAGAGCTATTATCCTCGGTGGATATAAAACTTTAAAACATTCATTCAACATAATTCGAATAAACTTTTTCGTTCTTAAATTTTATTTGCCGTGTCTACTTTAGTTACTTAGAATAATTTCGAGAAATTATGGTTTGTGAGCCTCGTGCACAAATAATATACGATGCTGTGACAACATCTTCCACCTCACATCGTAAATCGCAGCCGCTAGCCTTTTATTAATCATTAAATCAACGCGAAAACAATCGCCAGTTAATAACAGGAAACATCGTCTGGAATGCAACTTGAAAATCCATTAGCGCTGCTTAAACACCTCGGAACAAATCGTTTTCCTCGCCGGTGTAATAGAATTTCTGTTGAGTGAAGCGATGCTATAACAACGAAAGCTTGTTTGTCAGTATTTTTAACCTCTTTACCCTACTTAATAAAATTTAGAACTGAGGAATAATTTTCTTATCATAAATTGGTAAGTAATCAAGTTAAGGAGTGTGTTAATCTTTGATAGAAAACGCCTTCGTCCGGTAAAATTCACTCACATTATACTGAGTCTGGAAAAATGGATGGTAGCAATTGTTTAAAACCATTGTGAAAAACTAACTCATTTTCGGGGAATTGATCCATCGCATCACAGAATAAATGAAAGTTAAAACGTAAGAGACTAAAGAAAATTGTTTTGTATTAATTTTAGATCTAGTACGAACTTATTCCGAAATAGACGGCAAATATCTTCGTTCGTACGCTAGGAATATCGACTATAAAAGGGATTACAGCTAGCTCACCTGCGAATAAAGAATATAGCCAAAATCATTTGTAACAATTCAGCTTAGATATTGGAATAACCACATAAGGACGTCATAACCGTAAAAATTGTCTGATATATTTCGAAGAAAGGCACGCAGACAAATCCTCGGGCCTAAGCTAGTATTTCACGAACTCGATGGGTTAACTCGAGTCTGTAAATATTTGCCCTCGTCTAGGGAAAATTATCTGTTTACACGTTCGTTTTTGTCGTCTATTGGTTATCAGCGGTTTAACGTTAACTGTGCATTAGTGATACGGTAAAAGTAATAAAGAAAGGTGGTTTTGCGTGCCAAGATAAATTGAGCGGATGACCGAAATGCCTTCGGTCGTCTAAACTTTGGCGTATATAAAAACAAAACTTGAAGTTCGTTTCGGGTGGAGTCGTTTTTTTATCGGGAAAGAATACTATTGAAATAGATACATTTCATGGAAGTGAAAAAGTAGTGTTGTTATATTAGAGGCAAAGGATCACATTAATTGTCATAAAATATATGTATCTATTCCCTTTCTTATTTCTATACGTTGTAATTTTCTTCTCTCTCATGTAATAAAACGTGTCTGTTATCAGATGTAACGAAACATGGTGAGTCCTTTGAATTTCGTTCTGAATCCCCGTCTAATTATCGTGTCGCCTAAGAAGTTTTACTTACAAAAAAAATAACTAAAAATTTTATTCCATGTGCCAGTACTCTTTGTTTGTAAAACGAGTATCAAATGTAATTAATAACGGTTAAATTAAATAGTTTGGAATTGTAGATAAATGTCAAAAAGTTGTTATTGGTTGCCATGGTAACACAACACAACATGGAGTTGATGTTAGGTGTCGCGCATCGTAAAAATTCATACTCAACATTTTCTCAAATGCCCCAAAAGAAGTATAATTTCAAGAATTAAGAAATGTCTCTTATTTAAATATCCTTCAATTTTGTTATTTCATCATTATGTTCTCCTATTTTTTTGCCTCCTTTTCTTTAATACGTTTAATTCTATTAGTTTCTTGAGTGAAGATTTAAACAAGTATTTACATTTACAGAACGAATCCCTTACCATTCAAATAAAGTCTTTCCTATACTCCTTGACGTCGTTACATCTTTATCGCTTGCGTGGTTATATTACAAGACTTTCCATTTAATATTGATGGGACGTTGCATCGATTCATCTTAATAAGTCGAATTTGGACGCTCTTAACGTCTATCAAAAAGTCCGCGGTCGTAAATTGCTCCAAGTTACGATCATTTCCTGCACCAGTCGTTATCGGTGGCACGATCGGGATTTAACTTGACGGTCGCCCCTACCAAGTGTCGAGATTCCACGACACTCGTCTGATTCCCACGGATAGCCGTTGATTCCGTTTCGGTTGAATTGATGCACCACTTTATATGATAATTTCCGAACACAAGCTCTATTCAGAACGGGAAAAGTTGGTAAATGTTTATTTAAATGTTTTTTTTTATCTGGTAGTTACGTTAAGACATAGGAGATACGCAACAGGGTACTTTGATCAGTGGGGCTCGATGGATTGGTAAGGTTTTTAATTTTGGTTAAGGTTTTTAATGATTTTTGAGGCGGACGTTTTCGAACGTGATCGAACGTTGTCTTCACTGACGATGCTGCCCTCCTTATCTTACCTTACTGAAAGAATAAAAAGAAGCGCATCATTAATAGTAAGTGCTTTTAAGTGATCGTAAATGCTATGGACATTTTAATATCTTTTGAAGTTTGGATTATCTGTTAACAAACCTAGTTGCTATCAAGGCTTATTGTTAATCACCAGAATAGTTTCATCCTAAACTGACTAGCGCTTGATTGATGTGTTACATGTATCATCCCATTCATTTTCCTATAGGGCCATATATTTCAGCATTAACTGCTGGTATTTTAACTTGTCGAACTGGAACTTGCTGTAATTTTTGGTCCGTTTTGATGGATCGGTTGGTGCATACGCTAAAGTATGGCATACGCTAAAATACGGCTTCGGTGCTGTGCTCGATTCTGACACGGGTCAAGTAATTTGTGAAGTAAGGACTATTGTTTTTGATCTGGGAGTTTGTCCGTGTGAAATTTGACAAGATAAGATAAAATCTTAATGACCTGGATATGTTCACCGTAGATTTAAAAAAAAAATCGAGATAAGATGAGATGACAGTACTGATGCTGTAGTTAATATGATGCTTATGAACATATAATTGATAGCCTCGAAATAATTATTGTTGGATAGAGTTGTGTAATTTCTATTTACCTTCGTAAATGAAATAAAAATTTAATTGATTATATTCAATTTACGCCCTAAGTTGATTTAGATTATTATTTTTGAACGATTAATATTTTTATAGGGTGTAATAAATAGTTGAAACGCATCCATCATTACATCGTAAACATTTATTTTACGCGATAGACGCCACTTCAAACAGAAGTGCCGTCAAAAATGAGAAAAGCGAACAAAGGCGAAATAAACAAAGGCGAACTTTGGCGCAACTAGACCGAAGTAAACAGCGTGGAGAAATGTCAGGCAAAATGCCAAGAAGATTTTTCACGCCGGTCGAAGAATACTGATATTATTATCCGAACTAATACCTAGAAATGTTTTGCATATTTATCAAAATTTCTTTTTCGTTAAAATTCAACCTTAAAGTATAGTGTGTCACATGCATTTAACTGTTTTAGAGTTTTCATTAAAACCTTTTTCGTTTGTCTTAATAATTTAAAGTAGGTATGTATGTACGTAATATTGTTACTAGTATTCAGATCCAGGTCGCGCAATACAGAGGTATTAATGCAGCTATGTGGTATTAAGGTAATTGAATTAGTATTGAACTGAACGTAACTTTAGTTGAAAAATTCTTGTGTATTCATAATTCTTATACATATCTTATATGTGAATACTTTAGGTAGCCGTTGAAAGTTTGTTTGAAGAACTTTTCTTTTATTAACTTCATCGGCGTAAAATAAATATTTGCCTCTTAATGAGATATAACAACGCTTGAAATAAAACTATCAAACAGATTTAATCGCAGCCAATCTAAATTTAAATTTTAGATAAATTGCTTTTTTAAAGTATTTATAGACGGGCCGGGTTGTTTGAAGTCCTAATGTCCTGGGTTAAATCAGGTTTTAAAGTCTTTCAAGCTCCGGGAATTGAAACTTAAATAAAAACGCACTGAATTCTGTCAAAATAGTTTCATTTAATAATTTTTAATCGTTATTTTTTCAGTTATTAGTTCGTTATTAAGGTAAGGGTCTTATCGTTATCCGAAGTTCTTCACTGTACCGATAGCGATCTCTTCCAATATTTGCTCTCCATTTACGTGTTTGTGTTGACGACTGTCTGCTCTTGCGTGTGAACTGAACAAAGCTTTATTCAATAAAAAGGGGTAACTCTCAAAACAAAGTATTATTCCTTACATACTGAATATTTAGGCAATAGCAATTTTAATCTTTATGTTCACGTGTTTATATCACTGAACTCCTACCGACCGAGTTTGATGAAAGTTTTTGTGTGTCTTCAGGTCGATTCAAGAATGGTTTAGATTCACAATCTATTTTTTTTATTCATAAGTAGTTGTAGGATTTAAGTACGCGTGTAGG